TTCAGGAAGACAAACTTCTCAACCTGTCAGAACCTGGACAGCCCTCTGAGAGGGAGGGTGTAACGTGGCGTCCTGCAACAGCAGGGGGTGGACTCGATGGCCTCCAAGGCCCCTTCTGACTTTTCTCTTCTATGATTCAATGTGTAAGCTACAAGGCCAGGTCAGGGTGAGATGAACATTCCACCTGCCCAGGTGGGCCATGAGTCTTGCTGTCTGTGCCTGTTCCAGAAAGATTCCTGGGGCCAGAAAGTGCTGCCTCTTTGCAGGATCAGGCCCAAGACTCTTCAGGAGAGACTTTCTGCCACTTCATGTGGATGTAGTCCCTGTGCGTGGCTGTGTGTGTGTCCCACTTTGGGGAGTTGCTTCTTGCTAGTCAGGCAAAAGGGTGAAGGGTGTGGCTGTACGTATGTCTGCCTACCTATTGTGTATTGTTGCTACAGCTGTGGATACCGCCTACTCATAGAAGAGAAGCCTTGGAAAGAGACAGGGAGGGCAGTGGGAGGGAGATAGGCGGGTAGGTAGCTACTGGGAGAAGCAGCACGTGTGTGCCGGCTCGTATTTAGCTTGTCGTCTACAACGCCCATTCCCTATCTTCTACTGATGTATTTGGATCCCGCCCCGCAACCTGGCATTAGTTTCTGTTGGATTTCGTTCTGTTGCTTTCCGCCCAACATTCTAGCTTGTCTGGATCATCCTGGACCTTCCTTTTTGCTTCCAAGGTGTCAGCTATTCCTCCCAGCTTTGTATCATCTGCAAATTTAATTATCATTCCCTGGACTTCCTTACGCAGATCATTCATCAAGATGCTGATGGAGCCCTGTGGCACTCCGCTCATTGCCTCTCCCCAGCTGGAGGTGATGATGATGAGCCGGTTTTGCAGCCAGTTATGGATCCAACTAACAGAAAGCCCACTTTTTGCTAGTTTATCAGGATGTTGTGGGGCACTTTGTCAAATGCTTTGCTAAAGTCTAGATCAATTATTTCCACAGCATTTCCGCTGTCCATTTGGGAGGTCACCCAGTCAAAGAGATTACGTTCGTTTGGCATGACTTATTCTTGAAAAGTCTGTGTTAGCTTCTGTTCATCACAGCATTTTTTCAAGGTGCTCGCAGACCAATTTTTTAAGCAATTTGCTCCAGTATTTTCCCAGAGCTTGATGCTAGACTGACTGGTCCATATTCCCCAGTTCTTTTTTTTTTCTCCTTCTTGTAGATGGGGACATCAGCTCTTCTCCAGTCATCCGGCACTTCCAGTTTCCCAAGATTTCTTGAAGATTACAGACAGTGGCTCAAAGCATTCTGTTGCCAGTTCCTTTATGATTCTAGCATGCAGCCTGTCAGGTCCAGGTGGTCTGAACACATCAAGCTCATCAAGGTGGTCTTTAACATCGGTCTGCTGATCGCAGGCTGCCATCTACCCTTCCGCTTGTACTAGGTCACATTTCATCTTGGGGGAGAAGAATGAGCCCAGCGGGGGCTCATTTCACCGGGACAATTGGATGACAGAGAAATGTAATAAACCAGTAAACTGAGCATGGCCTTGAACGTGTTTGAAAATGTCATCCATGATAAGGGCTTGCAAACTGTTCACTGCTAGTATTGTACCTACACAGCCACCCCCAAAAGATTTTTAGAGTGGTCTATCCCACTCTGGCCCACTGGATGAAGAAAGTGTTCCATTGTGACCAATTTGCACGATGCTTTGCAGATAAAATTGACCATATGCCAGTTTGAAGAAATGTCCACCAAAAGCCATACAGTGTGAACACCTGAACCTGCTTTTTATCAAGACTGACATCCAATCTGTTCCACACGACCTGGCAGTGGCTCTTCAGACAGCAGTCTAGCCTAGTCCCTTCTACAGTCTGAGACAATCAGTGATTGGGACTAGGGCCTTCGAAATGCAAAGCTACCAAGCAAACGTCCCTCCAGAAAAAACAAGCACACAAAATGGGTAGAAACATTTGACAGACAAAACCGGGAAGGAAGTTTGGAAGGATAAACACTCACCACTTTTCATCCAATGGACTTCTGATCTTACTATTCTTAGATTTGAACATTATTTCCATTGCAATCATCCTTGAGTTTAAGTCTGGACTGTTTATATTAACTCATATGTTATGCATAATTGAAACAGAAGCATCAAATCTTTTCTCCACTTTTCTCTCTCTTCAGATTTAGGGTAATGTGAGTTATTTTTTGATCCCTTCCTTTTGTCCTCTTTCGTGGCTCCCTCCTTTGTTTTGTTGGCAAACAAGAAAACTCTTCTTTAGCAAATACTCTCCAAAACAGTCCAGGGAACCCTTTTATATTACTGGCTATGTGGCCCTTTACCCAGGCACCAAACCTGGAACCTTCTACGTGCAAAGCATGGGATTTGCCACTGATCTCCGACTCTTTCTTAAGTACGGGTAGAGTGCATCTGGGTACGCAGCTGGCTTAGGCCACCCACGCTGATTAACCATCTGATGCACATACAGCAGCTTGGATCCTGAGTGCAAGATAAACAGCTTGGCATCCTCTGTATGTTTTCAACAGCAACTGCCATCAGCCGAGACCAGCAAGCTCAATGGAAAGGGTTTCTGGGAGCTGAAATCCAAATAGGCCAGAGGGCACCAGAGTACCTACACCTGTTCTACTATATCAACTCGGCATTCCTCCGTGGGTTTTTGTCTGCTGCACGTGGATACTCGTGTGCTGTTATCTGTTGGCTTTTGGAGGCCTCAGAATAGCAAGCATGGTCTTTGGTCCCTGCCAGTGGCTTTTTAAAGGATCTTTTCAGGAAGACTAAAGCCAAGGTTTCCCCCACTTAACTGTAGGGATTCCCTGACATAATAGCATCTAATTCTGGTCTCAGGACCCTGCATTGTGCAGATTCAAAGTGATGTTTTGTGTTCAGCAACTGCCACATGTATTTCGGTTGGTATTCGCTTGCTTGCCCTCTGGCTAATTTTGAAGAATTTGGAATACAAATGCACTGTTAACATGAGCACAGTGGCTGAACTCCCTGGGATGTGTACTGGGCTCAGTAGCGCCACAGAGTGTCAGCATTTAGCAGCCCCACCCCGAACTAAGCCACACTTTTGTATTCTCAAGCAGGAAAAGGAAACACGGCTGCTGTGTCTGCCGCTCTTGCCTACTTTATCTTTAGAACCTTTTCAACAGGCTTTCGAAAACAAGAGTCTAACCTGCACCTGCTTGTTCCCTGAAATCCATTTCACCTGGTTGCATTGTCAGATCAGTATCATAGATTTATTCAAGTAGCACTATATGAAAACAAAAGTTTACATGCTTCCCCCGGTGAACCTGCTCACAAGCATACTTAGGTCTAAGTCCTTTTGCATCTGATGAGGCAAACTTAATTTGTATTTAAATGATAAAAGCTACATTACAGCTGAATTTAACAGCTCATTAAATCATAAGAAACCCAGTAAGTATTATTTGTACACTACAAAAGTCGTGACTGAGGGTCAAGTCATAACTTGCCTGAAGCTATTGAATGAATTAATGGCCAGAAAGAGAGCTGAACTGTGCAGCTTCCTGGTTCACAGCTCTCAAACAAAACCGCTGCCATTTCATTGAGCAACCTCTTGGGCACCTGCCAGGAATTTCACAAGAACAGCAACAGCCTTTCCTCTGATTTGTGCTTTAATGCCACACATGTGCTTCCCAGAACCAGAGGAGGAGGAATGATGCAGAACTTGGACTAGGCCGGAGTGGTGTGTCGCACGGGTGCATTGTGAATTATTCCAGGAGCACTTATTCCCACCAGGACCAATTCAAGCTTTTCTGCCCGGGAAAAGCAGCCTTCTGCATCTTAGAATGCAGCAACATTTAATTTGCATTGTGGGGACCCAATCACTGAATCACCTCTGGCAGCACCCAACACTAATGCAATGTTCTAGTTCAGCCTTCTCCAAATATTGGTGCCCTCTAGACCCACTGGACTATAACTACCTCCACCCAGGCTAACAATTGTTGGTAGTATTTAAAAAAAACCCAAATGATGCACATTAAAATAGCTTCTACATAATGAATGCATTTGGACAATAAGAACAAGGAAGGACAGCAATCCGTACTTAATACAATCCACCAGAGCAAGGAAAGTATTATTTACAAGTGAGAGTAAAGCAGAAACTAGAAGAGGGTAAATGGAACTGTACAAGATGAACATAAACTGGCAGGAGAGGATGGGTGAAATCCAATTCATTATTCCTGTGGACAGAACTGCTTCTACTAACTAACCTGAACTAGGAGGGGGAGTGATTCCCCCCTTTCTTGAAGCATTCTGTGCAACCTGGCCTTCCAGAGCAAGTTTCTTTTGGGAGAGGCTGCAGGAGGAAGACAAGGGAGGAAATCCACTCACACAACATTGCTTCCTGTCTCAAGTCTGTGCAGGTAACTTTATAACCTTGGGAAACTCTCATAAACCAATCCTATACGTGCTCCATGTGCTTAAGGGAGCAGAAACTTGCGTATCTCCATTCAGGTCCTTGATGCAATTCCTCCTGTTCTGAGCATCAGTAATGTGCAAGGAATGGGCAGGGAACGCTGGATGGGGGTATGAGAGACAACCACAGGCATTTGTCTATACCTGTGCTGGCATGGAGGAGAGAGCAGAGCAAACAGAGCCATCCTCTGTATGAGCAGGCAAGCAGGTCAAGTCCAATATATTACTGAAAATTAACAGTTTGCCTTCATTAGACGTTCAAGACATTTGTATTTAACTTCCGTATAATATCTATAAGATTTAACGCTTGACTAAGAGTTTGGCTACTGTTAGAGCATTGAGTGAAAAAGGAAATAAAAGGACTGAAATAGCCTCTGGATGCTAACATAATTCTTCCAAGTATAGTAAGTCATCTACCATTCTGTAAAAGAGGCACTACTTTGGAACGTTTGCCACATTTTGTCCTTAATGTTTGCCACATTGTCCTTAATTCTTAAACACAGCAATGGTATGAATCAGTAACTGGTGGAAAGGAATGTACAGCAACTTCATTTCACTACACAGAACTTTATTTTGAACATAGTTAACGTAACAGAAAAAGATAGCAAAAGCAATCTGGAAGCTTAAGGCAACTCTTAAAGAGATTAGTTCAAGGATGATGCAACTTCTGTTTAAATAGAATTATGAAAAAAATATCAAATTGCATCAATAACTTAATGTCTTAAGTTTAACAGATCTGCACTTACTAGCGGAGGAAAAGGGGCTTGTGATCTTAATGCCAGCATTAAGACATAGTGATTTGGGTCAGACAATCAAATCTTGGCTTAATAAGCTTAGATGTGAGCAAGACTTTGCTTGCTCAAACAGCTCGTGTGCTACTTCTTTCATACTGCAAACAATCAAACCTCAAGCCTCTTAATCAATCATTTTCCCTGTTCACTTGAACCAGAAAATATAGTTGCCAACATCTCAAAGAGCTAGGATACTAAACCATAGTTTGAAATTGATTTTTAATTCTTGATTGTTCCTAAGTGGGTAACTGTAGCCTCTCAGGACAAAATGGGAAATTATGATTGGAGGCCTTCCGGTCGGATTGTTCACAGTAGGAAGGGAAGCGTGAGAGGGCCAACACGCTTATTACACCAAGGAGACTGTCGGAGGAGTACAGCGTAATTCTAGAAAACAGGAAAAAAGTTACAGACTGCAGAAGTTTATATGAAATAACATAATTTATGTTCTTTTGACCATATGGGGAGAGGCAATGTGTTTTGGCCTACAACTCCCACCACCTCCAGCTGGTGTAGTCCATGGTTAGGGTTAAAGGATGTTGTGGGTTAAAACTACCAGGTAACACCACACTCCTTCAGAATACAAGTACACCTCAGGTTAGAACAGACCATCAACAAAAAACTTTTTCGACCATTGTTTTTTAAAACAAGGAAGACATGCACAGAATCTTAAAATTTAGAACATGAAATGTGACAACACCACATTTCTATTTAGTGAACCTCTTTGGAAACAGTACCAATAAACAACCATTAGATTATACAGAAAATTCAGGTTGCTATGCACAAAGAAGTTTCATCGGCTATTTCAAATTTTACAAGCATTTGTAATGTTGTGAGTTTGGCTATTACCATTAATAAGGAATAATGCATCTTATCACACTGGCATCTGCAGGACTATTTCAGAAGGGAGGCTTCTACAAATGCAACGTATGTAAATTTAAATTTATGGACATTTAAATCCATAAAACATTTCATACTGAATAAACAATCTGGCTTTTCCAAGTTGCTTTGCTGATCTGAGTGATCACTGCATGTGGGTACATGGTCTGGAAATTCAAATTGCCCATTAATGACATGACCAGGTAGGGCGGCGATAACAAGTCCCCCCTGCAGCATTTTAAAGCACAGCTTAACAACCCTGAGACTTAAGCTCTGTGTCGTTGCCACAGGACTGGTGTAGGGAACACAAAACTATTGCAGCAGCGGCACTGAGGGATGTGAGGTCAATTCTTTCCCTTTCAGTGGCTTTTAAAAAGAAACCATCCCACCTGCATCCTTCCTCACATTTTCCTGAGAAACTGAGACAATGAGCAGCCCCTTTCTGCTACTTTTGTAATCAAATCCACAGCCATCCCTCCCCATGTTTTTGTGCCAGAGGACTAGATAAACCTGCAGAAGGGCCATATTCTACTTAATTAGTTTGCTTATACACTAGGAAAAAAATCACCTTCTTGGATATGCCGTAAGATATGAATTAGGAAATTCATAAATCGCTGTTTTTGCACCCACCTTTGCTTTTGGGGAAGACCTACTTCTGCCCAACCAGAGCCCAGCCTGAACCCGGCTTTCCAAAGGGCTTCTATGGGGCAGCACTCACTTCTCAATGAGTGAAGACTACTCCACCTGCCTTTAAAATTATTCAGGACGTTTCTTCCCCAGATGATGGGTGTGTCACTTTGTACTTTTCTGTCTATATAGCTAACTTTGCTTTCCTAAGTATTTGTCACAGCAATGACCTTCATCCATTGGCAAAAAACCCTCTGAGGTGGGAGGCAAGCGTTTTTCGTAATACAAACAAACAGAACAGTGCCTGCACATTTTGGCTTACATCTCATATTCTTCAGGGGCTAGGTACTTGTGGCTTGAAACCCAAGTTGGGAATTTGAGGATTGCAACTTGGCAAGTAGGGGGAGCAGCTTCCCCTTGCATATGGCAGTACCCAAATATTCAAAAACAAAATGGATGCTGCTGTTTAAAAGTCCTGAACTGATCACTCAAATGTTTTTCCTCCCTAAAATTGGCCGGACAAGATAAACGGAAGAACTGCTGCAAGCAACACACCGTGAGCAGTGCTGTGCCGAGTAACAGGGTCAAGAGGGAAGAATCATCTGCAAAAGTGAACAATTACTATTTTATTTATTTTATCCCAATCTCACCCTATTTGAAAATACTGTAACAACATTTTTTACGGAAAACACCAAGGCATCTTTCAGCCAGTATGAGACTTCCTGCATACAATTAAAATGTCTCAATTCATGTTACTAGTCAAGTTAAAATAAGAATAGGATATAAAAACAGTTCAATGAGACTTCAACATGATTGTTGAAGGTAACACCATTATTCTCTGCCTAACATACTGTAAAACCTACTCATAAAATTTTGGTGTTCCATTTTAGATTTAGGTTTAGAGTCCCTGAATAAAATGAAAGTCAGTTTACAATGAGTTTCAAAAGGTTACACAGCCCAACCCCCCCCCCACAAATGCTTGGTGCCTTGATTTTTAGACCTGTTCTTGGGGTTATTTGGAGTGCTGATTCAGAAAACTGCATTGGCTAGACTGCATCAGCTCTAGTTTCTTGGATATGGTTAAATGTGTGTAATTTTTAGTCAGTTTTTGAACAGATTTTGCTGATCAACTTGTTCTTCTGCTACCTAGTTCGTGTTTTTGTGTACAAGTAAAAGTGTTTACATTACTTCCAACTGTAATTTTACATCAGAAACACTGGATTTCTGAAGGGTAATTTATTAACTGCATTAGAGTTATGCTCTTATAGGAGGCATGTGTCTATTTCCGCTCATATTGTTTCATTTCATTAGCTGGACTTACCATGGAAAAACTGAAGGCGGGACTTTTCGATAGGCCACAGATCAGACAGCTCATAAATGACCCACATTTCATAGAATTAATGAATGAAATCGAATCTTGTGCCTGGTCTTTATTTGTTCTTGTTGTGAAAAACTTCCTTGGCAACAGGAAGGTAGACAACTAAACTCAATTAGTAGAGAGATGCTCTTTCATTTCAACAGCCTTCGCTGCAAAATGAGTGTGAAAATCCATTATCTGTTCAGTCACTTAGATCACTTTCCAGAGAATCTTGGTGACTTAAGCGAAGGGCAAGGGAAAAGATTTCACCCAGACATAAAAACAATGGAAGGCAGATGCCAAGGAAGATGGGATGTGCACATGAGGGCACATCACTGCTGGAAACTTATGTGGGATTGTCTTGGCAGATCCCATTCTCGGATATCTTACGAAAGGAGCTGCTTCTGTGTCGAATGGCTGGAACCTTTGCATCATAAACCTGTGCTTTTGGTTTGAAATAAGTAGATTTAGTGTATTTCACTTTTCTTGTAATTTTTAATGTGTTTCTTTCATACTATAAGCAGATTAAATAAAACACTACATTAAAATATCCTGATTTTTGAAGGGTGCCAGAGTGAAGAGTGGTATATAGCATTTATGCTGCATCTCAAAAACTGGAGCTGACAGGGAAAGCGTGGTGCCATTTTTGGAATCAGTGGATCAAATATAGGCAGGAACAGGTCTAACATTCGAGGCACCAAGTTCTGTGCTGGCCAGTGGGGGCGTATTAACTGACAACTAACAATTGCAGAGTAGAATCTACAACAGTGCGCAGATTAAAATAGCAATAGCTGTTTTGCCATCTGAAACATAACTTAAACGCTGAACAAGATCATGGGATTTTGCAGTTCTAAAAAATAAAACATGTAGTTCAATAAATCGTCAACACTGTTACAAATATTTGGTTGCATAATGCAAAAAGGAAAACATTTTGCAAGTTTGGGGGGGGGAGAGAGAGACAGAGAGACAGAGAGACAGAGAGAGCGAGCGCATGTCTAAAAAGCAAGAACACAATGACAAACTAACTTCCAAAAATCCCATACAAAAATTATTTTAGAAAGTTTTGGTTTTTAAAAAATCGCAAAAACATTTTCCAATCTTTTGACCTATTCTGAAAAGAAAAAAAAATATTACTAGTTGAGGAACTGTTGCTACAGCTGCATAAAAGTAACTGTCTTCACTAAAATAGTGCCAACACAATTGTAAGCTTGCATAGAAAAACAAGAATTTCAAATTCCCATTGGTGACATGTTTAAAGAACCGAAATGCAGGTAATGCAACACAAACATAGTGCAAACCATGGCAGGACATGATAATTTGGCTGCCGCAGGTCAGGGAATAGACTCTAGTATATACCCAGTTATCACAGTTTCTGGTCTTTTAACTCCATCATTTGCCAACTCTGAAAAGCACGTATGGCACAGCAATTGCTTCGCTTAACGCAATTTGAGATCATCGCCACTTCCTAGGTTTGATCCAGGGCTAGGGTCTTGTTGTCTTCTTGCCTAAATGAACATGGGGACAAAAAGGATAAGAGAAGGAGGAAGTGGATTAAGAACGTCTAGAACATTTTAAAAGCCAAGCAAAGGTTTCAGATGGTAATTTGAATCTCAATTGTGAACAGCTGACAAAACAGTTGCTAATCCCACTCTCCTTCCCATGCCCTTGTTTTTACCTACCATGGCTCTCGAAATTACTTTGCACGCCTTCCGATAAATGAGAGAGAATTTTGCATTTTCATGATCAAGCAAGCATGCTTGTGAAGTCTGACCTGCTTGGCTCTTTCTGAAAGCGGGGGCAACTAAACAAACCCTCTGGCCCATGATCTGTTTACTCTCATGTCAGGTCTGGGAATTCTGGCTTCTCTCCTTCAGTTATAAGCCAGTAACAATTCAGAGTTTATAACTGATTTGCTTGGGAAGAGACAAGCCAGAATTCCTGGACTGGACACAAAAATAAACCACAGATGGACAGTCTGTGGATTGTTCAGCAGCTCCCACTTGCGAGAGAAGCCAAGTGAAAATCTTTAGGCTGCATTCATGAGCATACTTCTTGATCACAGGAAACCACAGATCTCTGGAACCCTGGTTTGTGTCAAGTGACCCATGCTCGGGGATTTATGACAATTTCATTTTGGGTCACAAACCACAGAAAAATGCAAATATGAAAACGAATATGAGTTCATTTGCTCTGAAAATCTTTGCAAATGCCCAAACACTTGGCTTCATGTTCACAATCTGAACAACCTTCTTAAAACTTTCTCAAAAGATTGGAAATCACCTTCAGTTCAATCTAAGGGGGAAATGGGCACAATTTTGGAAGTTGGCACGTATTTTGGGGACTTTTTGCAAAACCTTCGTGTATGATAGTCGTTCATTTTGTGCACACTATTTGCACAAAACAAACTGCAAATCAAGAAGAGACCGGCAGCAAACTGGTGACCTTGGGGAGCTCAAAATCACTTGCTCCTCCAATTCCTAACTGGGTCCACTAACTCCAAGTGGCACAAACACACATTCTTTTGCTGCCTGAAAGCAGCGCTGGCTACACATGCAGGGGAACGACAAATCCCTTCTTCCAAGAACTGCTCTCTTTGCAAGAGAAGCCAAGTTCACCCTCGTTCTCTGAAGTGACTTAGCATGGGGGTACAGAACTCAGAATATTTTTTCAGATTCCTAACCCTTCAGAGATGAAGCAATGTTAAGTCCTTCCTTCCTCTTAAAAGAGATACTCTTTTGTAGTTTTATCTCATGAATTTTATAAATTCTATGCCACTTAGTGGGAAATATCTGAAGGCTTCTGCTAGGATTAACATAAGTTAATGTTTTTCCAGATGTTTTTAGGTACTCTCTTCACATACTCTTCATTTTTGCTGAAAGCTTTTCAGTATTTATTTCATGGACAGTTAAATGTTTAAGCTAAGAAAGTTTTAATATTAGAGAACCATATGAAGAGGGCCTTAACACTCTTAATAGGAAGAACAGTATAAGTATTCAGAAATTGCTGTAATTTGATTTTTTAAAGAGAGGAACCAATGGTTCCAGAAACAGAATGTTATTATAATGAATAGGAAAATGGAGAGCTCTTTATTATATCTATATCTTGCTTTCTTCCTGCAATGAAACCAAGGTGGCTTATCTCACAACAATTCTTGTTGCAAGGTTAGGCCGAGTGTTGGGACTGGCCCAAGGCCACCCAGTCAGTGAACATCAGGGCTTAGCAGGGACTACAACCCAGATCTCCAAAGTCCTGGTCCACTGATTTGTACACCAAAAAGCTATACAACCTTTCACTAGGTCTGGGCACCTTACAATTTTTTTAAAAAAGGAAATAGAGTTCATTACACAAATGTTTCAATAATCATTAAGACTTATGATCAAATATGTTTCATTTCAGATACATAGTCCACATTCCTATAAGAGCAGATTTAAAAAAACTTGTATGGGCATCCATTTGAAAGCAAGGAAACAAAATATTTTTATTTTGCCTTTCCTTATTTGTTTCACTACTGTAGAAACTGCCTTCTATGGAACACTGAGTTACAGTTTCCTAATTTTACAAGTACACCGAAAACAAGAGAAATGCATTAACAGAATGCCTTATTCAGACATATTTTAAATCAAACAAGCAGGAACCACAAGCTGAGTAGTAAATTTCATGACAAAAGTAGCTTCCAGTAAGCAATTAGTTTCATATTCATAGTTTTAAGACAAAGCCCTGAAAGTAAGACACAATATGCAACTTAGTTTTACTAGGAACAGATCACAAATAAAATCACTAAAAGGGGGCATCACGGGACAGTATTAATTACACAGTAAGACGTCTTTTTAATCTATTATGCTGATTAAGACAGGGCTGTCACGCTTAAAATATGAAAAATTGCCTGTCCCAGCATTTGTACAGACAGAAGTTATGCAAGATTTTCTATTTTCATCTAAGGCATTCTGTTTTTAGACACATCTTCCATCTCAAAATGAACTTCTAAAACTTAGCATTATTTTAACCTAAGTCCGTGCAGAATGCTGTCTATCTGACAAAATTTCAGCATCAAGCTGGAAGGTAGATATGCAATTATTTTTCCTGCAATCTATAAATGTTAGAATACCGAGAATTCCAAATTACCAACACATTATTAGCTCTCACAGTTGCATATATAAAATTAAAATAGATGATAAAATTCATTTCTTAGTGTGGAACAAACTGTTTACCCATGCTGTGGTGGAATGCATTATACCAATGCAGCGCAGTCGACTTGGACATTTTCCAAAGGAAATAGCTTCAGACAGGGAACTGCTAATTACTCCCCATAAATCTGTCCTCAGTATTTTCCAGAAATGGGATATGGGGTAGATGAGGATGAGAGACAGAAGGGTGAACAGTAAAATCCAGTTGGGATTAAGCTTTCCCATGTAAATTGAACTAAAACAGGGCTTGATTATTTCTGGATCATGCCCTAAATAAACTAAAGATAATGATGAATTTGCATTGCAAAAAGAAATGGCAAGCAGTCTCAAGTCATATGATCTGCTCTTTAAAAATTAAATGATTACTCATTGCCTTGCCTACATTCAAAGCAAAACTGAAAAACTGTAACTCCATTGTTTACCAACTCAAGTTAGCTAAGCAAACAAAAAGAAGTCCCGTTAAGGGTGTTTTCAGGCACAAAGATTCCTTGTGCAGCTACTCATTCTTTTTTGCCATACTGGATGTTTCATGGGATGGAAAATGAACCAGAGAACCCAAGATGGAGATGACAGAATTCTTTGAATGAGGCAGGTTGAGTGCCAGCTAAAAGATTTGTCTGAGTTTGTCTGCAGAGTTAAACAATGCTTTTCCAGACACTTAATGTCCAGCCTGCCAAGACAGAACTCAACAACAGCAACTGAACTTTGCAAGTGCATTTTTTTAAAAAATGTAAAACAAAAATATTTTCAAATAAGAATCAGAGGCCAGCCAGCCAATATATAAACCATAAAAAATGTGTATTCAGGAGAGATGTCAAAACAATCTTCTTAATTTGGGACCTTTATTGATTCTTGCAAATAATCAAAAGCAACAAGAAGTGGCAATTATATTTTTAGAACTTTTATTTATCATTTAGGATACTACATAATAGCAAATGAGTTGGATAACTACATAATAGCAAATGTCTCCATATAATGATATGATTATGCTTACATTTGCATTTACTTCCAATTATTTAACTATGTTCAATTTCTCCGATCTCTAAACTAATTTATTTACAATCTAGGAGTCAGAATTAGACCTCATTTTAAGGATGTTCCTTCTGTACAGTGCAGATCAAGTGCTAATAAAAAAAAGGGAAGATCTCTCCCCAAATCATTACTTAAAGATGTTAAGGATATATCCGTAACAATTGAGATATGGATATGTTTGCATGTGCTTGAAAGAAAACTGTGCATTTTTTCTCAGGTTCATAATGTGTATTCCTATTTTATTTAGTTTTCCAGTTACTCCATATCTTCTAACACGTTACTTAAGCACAAGTATACCCAATGCGGTACAGTAATCAGGTCCCTATACCTATGATTATAGCAATAAATACTGAACAAGTTATATCATGGACATTAAGTAAACTTTAAATATAACTTTTAAATATTCTGAAGTGAACACAACTAAGAACTGTTTCAATTTTTACAGCTAAGTAATATACCTGCCACAATTTGGCCAGTTATGTGGGACACATTTAAAGCATTTTATATCAGTTTTTCTATTTAAAGCATCATAAGAACTACATAAAAACAATTATTATGTCAAGTTAACAAATTTCAGATTTGGAACAAAAACAGAAAGAGGCAAACAAAAGAAATACATGAGAAAATACTGGGTTTCAAAGGATTTAAAACAAGCTTACATATTGGAAAGTATTAATGTATTAGATAAAAACAGTTAAACTTTCAAAATCATTGGTTAAAATACAGAGAGGAACAAGAAAAAAACCTAAACTGCCAAAGTAAGATATCTAAAACAGGCAAAATTTTTTAAATTAGCTCAAGTTATAGTATTAAGGTATGAACTGAACATATGGCTGTTAAATTTAATAAACAATTCTTTTTATAAAATTCTAAAAATTACCAATAGTTGATTAATCTTAGATATTAGATAGCTTTGATGCTAAATTTACAGAGAAAATGGTGACGCTAGTATTTTAAAATAAGAAATAATACCCTCCTGCCAGCTCTGATGACTAATTTAAATATATATCCTAGCATTACTTTAGCTGTTAATGCATTTATTTGAATCAAGCTTTACCTAAATTATATATAGAACCTGAAATACTTGTGACAAAAAAAGCTGAGAATACAGAATTCACACTGTCTGAAATGGTTTCTGAATCAGGGTTTTAACATCTAGGTTTGTATTATTGCAGAAAGGTTCCGTAACTTGTTTTTCATGTTGGACAAGATTACATTGACTTCATAAACATTGGCATCTAAAATCAAAATTTTAATTGATTGCATAGAACTACTGTACAATTATTTTC